GGGGGAGGGGCAGGGCAACCCACAGGCTCACAGAGGGAGGGGGCAGGAAGGGGGCATTGCCTAATCTGGGTGGGGAAAGCCAGAGAAGGTTTTACTTGCCTGAAATGTGGGCACCCCACCCTGGGGGTTGAAAGTTACCAGGATGGGAAGTGGGGGACCCAGAAGCTCTCCCCACCCACCTCTAAGAAAGAGGAAGAGGCTTGCAACATTCAGAGGAGAGCAAAGCATTCGCTCCTCTGGCACAGGGTGGGCAAGGACCGGGGGCCAGGCCCCAGGCCCTCTCCAGCCCTCCATGAGTCCAGGTGCCAAGTGAGCAGAGTATCTGGGGCTCTGTTCCATCACCTGGGGAAGGACGGGTTGTCCATAGGCACCAGGTTGCAGGCCCCTGACTTCTTTCTCCCTAAAAATCCTACCCTGGCAGAAAGCAGGTGCTCCCATCACCCAAGCTGAGAATAGGAGTTACAGTCCTTGTCACAGTAGCAACAGTCAACTGCACACAGACGCTAGGAACCACAGACACCCACCCATTCCCCAAAGATAGGCCTCCCTCACCACCCAGCACAGACTGGAAAGTGAGAGTCAGAGTTCCTGACCTCTGCTCACTGTGCTGCCCGCCTCACACTCCCTTTACGAGGACAGAAGAGAGGGAGGAAACAGAGACGGAGGTGAGAGGAGGGGTGGCAGTGGAAACCGAGGCAGCATCTGCCTGCCTGTGGCCCCTAGGCCTACAGGGTGGGGGTCGAAAGGAACACAGACATGGAGGCCCTGCTCCCAGCAGCTGGTGGGGCCTGGGAGGGAGGGGGTCATGGTGGAGCCAGAGGAGGCGATCCAGGAAGCAGTGGTGGCGGTGGGCAGCTGGCCAGTGCGGGCAGTGAGGCGTCCAGCCAGGGCCTGCCCCAGGGACAAAGAGACTCCCTGGCTCCCGGGGAGAGTGTGCTGCCCCCACACTGAGAAGGGGGCACTGACCCCGCCCAGCCAGGCGTACAGAGCAGCGGTGCCAGGCAGCTTGCCAGTGGCTGTGAGAGGGCAGTGGGTGCCTGGGGCAGGGTGTTCAGTCCCTGCCTGCCAGGAGAAGTGGGACAAGTTTCCCAGGTCAGCAGCTGACCGGCCAGCCAGCGGCCCATGGCCCGTTCTGCTGCTTCCACCCCCTCCTGCCCAGGCCAGGCTCCGGCTCCCTCCTCCCCTAGCCCTGGCCTGGCGCCCAGCTGGGCCCTGGGGGCCAGAGTTACTGTAAGCGGCCTGGCAGGCCCGAGACCTGGACTTTGCCAGCTGGCCGTAGCTGCCGCCACCTCCCACTACCTGGCTCAGCCAGCCAGGGAAGGGTACTGAGACCCCCGCCCAGCCAAAAGGCTACTCCTACGGCAGAGGGCAGAGGCAGAGAGAAGACACAGGCCCTGCCAAGAGCGCGTGTGCGTCCAGTTAGAATCCAGGCTGAGCGACCTTCTGGGACACTTGCCCTGGCCACCAAGCTGCCCATGGGTCCCTCCTCTCCCTCTCCCTCTCCCCTCAAAAGAAAGCACATCCCAGCATGGCGGGTGGAGTTGGCAAGGGGAAGGAGGGGTTCCAACAGGCCTGCTTGTCTACTCCCTCAAGCCCTCTCTCTCCCTCAGGCCCTGGACAGGGTGGGATGGAGGCGGGATGCCGCTCTCAGCAGAACTGCCATTTCCACCAAATGTCGAGAGGTTTGTTTGCCCGCCTCCAGCCTCTGTGTCCAGTCCTTGTAGCTGTTTATAAGGCCCTCACAGCGATTATCTCCAAGTCCTACCTAGAAAAGTCTGGGGTGGCTTTTCACTGTCATAACAGTGGGTGCCACACGACGAGACAGCAGTGATCACATGTAAGGCGCAAAGCTTTGTGAGTCACGTCAATGATCTTACCTAATCTCATCCCTTTGAGGGAGGTTCTGGTAATAGCCCTGTTTTACTGACAAGGAAACATGCTCAGAGAAGTTATCAGACGTAGTAAGTGGCAAAGCCAGAACTATACTGCCTACTCCATAGCCCGCCCCATGGAATTCCTGGGTGAGCAATGAAAAAGGCAGGTTAGTTTCCCCTCCAGTGATAAGAAATAGATACTCCCCTCCCTACACACACAACACAATCCCCCTTAACCACCCTATGTCCTAAGTCACGGCCCCCTGCCCCCCACCTAAGCACACAACAAACTACCTCACCCCTCCCTGGCTCTGGATTTGATTCTCCCAAAACACACCCCACTCTCTGACCCTCTCACCCAATATACACAAGCCATTAACCCCCTTCCCAGCACACACCCAACCTTGTCCCCCCAAAAAACACAAACAACCCTGACCCTCCCCACAATGCACACAGAATCCCAACCCTCCTCAGTTAAATACCTGTCCTCAGAGACCAAGCCCCAGGGGCCCATTTTGTGGGGTGGCCAGGATCCTGTACCATCTCTGGAACCTCCCACTCTGGCTCCTTGAGGAACTATAGCAGGACAAATACCCATCCCTTCCCACAGTGATCTGGAGAATATTTCTCACTCCACAGACCACAGGGTCTCTGAAGGGTCCACCCAAGACACCCAAGGTCCAACCTCCTTCTCACTTGGGGAAAGGGGGCTAGCAGAACGCTTGTTGGTGGGAAGTGGGAGGAAGGAGCCTCACTGTAAGGTTTCCTACAAAAAGGGTGACAAAGGACCAGAGCATATCATTGCTCCCTGCAGGGATGTGGGCCATGGATGTCTACCTCTCCTAGGAACTGCCTGGCCCTCAGCCCCAGTCCCAAGGCAGAGAGAGCAGGAAAGGTGAGACCGCCTCCATCTCCAGCACTTGTGAGTGTCTGTCTGCCATGCTTCGCCATCCAGAGCGGAGCAGCTTGGCTCACCAGGCCCACCAGCCCCGCATGAGGATGGAAGTGACCACTCCCCCAGGCCCATGGCCGCACGTCTGGTCCCAGAGAAGGGGAAGGTCATGGAGAAGCTCAGAAATTGGGGGTCTGGGTGGGAAGAGAAGTTGTTGTTTACTAGTAAGGGGGGAGGGGCAGGGCAACCCACAGGCTCACAGAGGGAGGGGGCAGGAAGGGGGCATTGCCTAATCTGGGTGGGGAAAGCCAGAGAAGGTTTTACTTGCCTGAAATGTGGGCACCCCACCCTGGGGGTTGAAAGTTACCAGGATGGGAAGTGGGGGACCCAGAAGCTCTCCCCACCCACCTCTAAGAAAGAGGAAGAGGCTTGCAACATTCAGAGGAGAGCAAAGCATTCGCTCCTCTGGCACAGGGTGGGCAAGGACCGGGGGCCAGGCCCCAGGCCCTCTCCAGCCCTCCATGAGTCCAGGTGCCAAGTGAGCAGAGTATCTGGGGCTCTGTTCCATCACCTGGGGAAGGACGGGTTGTCCATAGGCACCAGGTTGCAGGCCCCTGACTTCTTTCTCCCTAAAAATCCTACCCTGGCAGAAAGCAGGTGCTCCCATCACCCAAGCTGAGAATAGGAGTTACAGTCCTTGTCACAGTAGCAACAGTCAACTGCACACAGACGCTAGGAACCACAGACACCCACCCATTCCCCAAAGATAGGCCTCCCTCACCACCCAGCACAGACTGGAAAGTGAGAGTCAGAGTTCCTGACCTCTGCTCACTGTGCTGCCCGCCTCACACTCCCTTTACGAGGACAGAAGAGAGGGAGGAAACAGAGACGGAGGTGAGAGGAGGGGTGGCAGTGGAAACCGAGGCAGCATCTGCCTGCCTGTGGCCCCTAGGCCTACAGGGTGGGGGTCGAAAGGAACACAGACATGGAGGCCCTGCTCCCAGCAGCTGGTGGGGCCTGGGAGGGAGGGGGTCATGGTGGAGCCAGAGGAGGCGATCCAGGAAGCAGTGGTGGCGGTGGGCAGCTGGCCAGTGCGGGCAGTGAGGCGTCCAGCCAGGGCCTGCCCCAGGGACAAAGAGACTCCCTGGCTCCCGGGGAGAGTGTGCTGCCCCCACACTGAGAAGGGGGCACTGACCCCGCCCAGCCAGGCGTACAGAGCAGCGGTGCCAGGCAGCTTGCCAGTGGCTGTGAGAGGGCAGTGGGTGCCTGGGGCAGGGTGTTCAGTCCCTGCCTGCCAGGAGAAGTGGGACAAGTTTCCCAGGTCAGCAGCTGACCGGCCAGCCAGCGGCCCATGGCCCGTTCTGCTGCTTCCACCCCCTCCTGCCCAGGCCAGGCTCCGGCTCCCTCCTCCCCTAGCCCTGGCCTGGCGCCCAGCTGGGCCCTGGGGGCCAGAGTTACTGTAAGCGGCCTGGCAGGCCCGAGACCTGGACTTTGCCAGCTGGCCGTAGCTGCCGCCACCTCCCACTACCTGGCTCAGCCAGCCAGGGAAGGGTACTGAGACCCCCGCCCAGCCAAAAGGCTACTCCTACGGCAGAGGGCAGAGGCAGAGAGAAGACACAGGCCCTGCCAAGAGCGCGTGTGCGTCCAGTTAGAATCCAGGCTGAGCGACCTTCTGGGACACTTGCCCTGGCCACCAAGCTGCCCATGGGTCCCTCCTCTCCCTCTCCCTCTCCCCTCAAAAGAAAGCACATCCCAGCATGGCGGGTGGAGTTGGCAAGGGGAAGGAGGGGTTCCAACAGGCCTGCTTGTCTACTCCCTCAAGCCCTCTCTCTCCCTCAGGCCCTGGACAGGGTGGGATGGAGGCGGGATGCCGCTCTCAGCAGAACTGCCATTTCCACCAAATGTCGAGAGGTTTGTTTGCCCGCCTCCAGCCTCTGTGTCCAGTCCTTGTAGCTGTTTATAAGGCCCTCACAGCGGCAGAACACAGGAGGGGCTCGAGGGGCCCTGAGGGGCGGCCCTGCCTCCTCTCTCCCTCTGCCACCCCCAACATCAAACACACACCCCGCCATCAGCCGACAGGGTTTGCATCCTTGAGCCCTCAAACAATGGTCTCTCCCTTGTCTGGAGAAGACCTAACCACTGCAGCGAGCAGATGTGCCGGAGGCGAGACCCTGAGGCCCACTGCCTTCTGCAGTCCCCTTCCCTCCCACCGTGCCTCCCACCACTCCACTTACTGGCTGGGGATGGCGTGCTATAGCCGCTAACTGGAAGCTGGTGCTGGAGAGAGGTCAGAGCTCCTGGTGGGGAGAGTCCACCCAGCATAGGGGGAAAGAAGAAGGCGTAGGGGGGCACTGGGTACCCACTGAGGTGCCCTCCCCCAGGTGTTGGGCAGGAGCTGCTGTTACTGGCCATGCCAAGCAGCAGAGTCAGAAGCAGGCAGACAGTCTGGCGGGAAGCTCCAGCGGGAAGCTCCGTAGGGCTTCAGGCTGCCCCTCCTCGAGGCATAGGGCCTGGGCCCAGAGGGGGTTTGGGTGGTCAACCCACCCCCCCTTCTGTCCTGGAGCTGCTGTCCAAGACCAGCAGGCTAACCGCAGCCTCCTGGAGACCCCACTCTAGCTGGGGGCCAGGTTGGTTTAGGGCCGTCCCAAGAGCTGGTCCTTTGGTCAAGCTGTTCTGTGAGCTGGCACTTTCCTGGGAAGGTCCAGAGCTGGCCTTCAGGACGCTGAAAAGGATGCCTCTCCTAGATGGGCCCCGGCTAGGCGGCTGGGGGGGCCATGTCCTGCGATGCTGCAGAAAGAGGAAAGACAGTTGAGTGGGCACTGAGGGGCGGGCACACGGGCATTCCCCGTGGAGCTCCCCAACCTGGGCGGCCGGAGATTTTCCCGTGGCACCCGGCTGAGCAGACAGCTGGCACCATGCCTGACTGGCAGAGACAGCCTGGGAGCAGGGCCCAGACACTGCCGGGGGTGGCAGGATAGCACAGCCAGGCTGGGGAGACGGGGACAGAGCCCAGAGCTGCAGAAAGCCTCTCACCCACAATTCTGAGGGGAAAGGGTCCTCGATGCCACCTCAGAGGATCCCTGCAGCAGAGGAAGGCAGCTGGCCCTCCTTCCTCCAATGCAGGTTACCTGAGGTCAAGATGCACAGAACGTGTGCTTGAGGGAAGGGGGAGGAAAAGCCGCTTCCCTAAACCATTGGCACTTCTCAGAAAAATGACTCCTAAGCCAGGGGGTTCTTTTATACCACTTCCCCCCAAATCCAAGCCCCAGCACCCGATATGGGTCTGTCCCACAGGCTGGAGGAGGAGGCCCATCTACATACACACAGACAGGGAAATGAGAACCGAGGATTCCTGCGCATTTCCTCCAGTGCAGAACAGCATGCCAGGCTAGGGGAGCGCAGTGTGTCAGGAAGGCAAGGACGGGCCAGAGCAGAAGCCTCCTGCCCCCGACAAAGGAACCAGGAAGACTGATCTCAGAGTGTACCCACATACTCTGCAGAAATGAAAAGCCCCGCTACCAGTGCGGACATAGACCCATACCCTGTTTGAACAGCTGGGAGGACATGCACAGATAACGCCATGGGGTAGAGACAGGAATGAACGCAGATGAACAGGCAGCGACGAGCAAAGTGAAAGACGAAAAAGAGAAGCATCCACAAGAGGATGCTTCAAATCCACTTGAGGTATAGGAGGTTATGCATAAATACATTTGCCTGTATTTATATATGAGATATATATGTGTGCACACACACACGACATATATATATATATATATGAGAGATGAAAGAAAAGATGGACAAAAAGAAATATGGCCAGTCAAAACCAGAGTGAACTACTTCACTTCCACTAGGATGGCAATAGTCACAAAGACTGGTAAAAACAAGTGTTGACAAGGATGTGGAGAAACTGGAACCCTTGTACACTGCTGATGGGAATGTAAAGTAGTATAGCTGCTTTGGTAAACGGTGTGGCAGTTCCTCAAAAGGTTAAACACAGCCCAAGAATAGGAAAACTTAAGTCCACACAAAAACCTGCACATGGATGTTCATACCAGCATTATTCATAAGCCAAAAAGCAGAACTGACTCAAATATCCATCAACTGACAAATAGATAAATAAAATGTTGTAGATCCATACAATGGAATATTATTTGCCCATAAAAAGGAACAAAGTACTGATATACATTGCAACATGGATAAACCTTGAAAACACTACGCTCATTCCAAAAGGCCACATATTGTATGATTCCATTCATATGAAATGTTCAGGATAGGCAAATTGATAAAGACAGAAAGTAGACTGTGGTTACCAGGGGCTGGAGCAGGGGTTTGAGGGAAATGGGAGATGACTGTTGATGGAAATGGGGGTTCTTCAGAATGATGAAAATTTTCTAAAGTTGATTGTGTTGATAGTTGTACAATTCCATGAATGTACTAAAACCACTGGATTATACACATTAATGGATAAATTTTATGGTATATGAATTACATCTCAACAAAACTGTTAAAAAGAAGAAATTTAAAAAAGGAGGGGAGAAGACAAGTAGTGATTCTATAGCATCTTACTACGCTGATGGACAGTGACTGTAATGGGGTATGTGGGGGGACTTGGTAACAGGGAGAGTCTAGTAAGCATAATGTTGCTCATGTAACTGTACATTAATGATACCAAAATAAAAAATTTTAAAAAAGGAGGGGAGAAAGGAAAGGAAAGGAAAGGAAATGAGAAAAGACAAACAGGGCCACAGAAATAAGGCCTGCCTCCATTTCCAACCCTTTCCCCGGAAACTCAAGCCATACCAGAGTCCAGGCTCCCAGCTCCAGGCTCAGACCTGGAGTCCAGGGGACACACACATGGCCATCACGCTTGAGATGGGGGAGTTCCTGCCAAGGCCACTGTGGATGAGGCCAGGACTTCTGGTCCCAGCTGGGCCAGGCTTAAGGGAGAGGGAAGCAGAGACAGGTACTTGCTAGGGAGGGGACAGTTTTCCCAGAAGTGAAATCTGGACCTTGTTAGTGACCAGGATTTTTACTGTTACTAATTATGACAGCCACAGGGCCTCTCTCCTTACTCCTCCTGAATGAGGTGCCTCCTTCCCACCCCAGGCCCCTGCCAATTCCCTCCCAGGCTGACAGGACTGACGTCAGAGGAACATCAGCCCCACCTATTGAGCCAGCTGTCTCCCCTGGCCCCCCCCAACACCCTTGTGGGGCCCCACACAACTGGAACTTGAGCTGGGGGAGCCAGGCGAGGGAGGGAGGGGTTGGCTGGGCCTCAGCAGTGTTGACAGACACACACACACACACACACACACTGCAGAAACGCATGCAGGTCTATGGAAAGCATCCGGGTGGGCAAGAACACGCTTGCGTGCCTCAGCCTGTGTGTGTGCGGGCATGCATGTGAGGAGAGGGAACCTGAAGATACCATCTCTCCACACCTGGGCTCTACCACACAATGAACACAGTTCAGGGCTTGTGTGCACGGACGGCCCTGGGACACGACTCCCATAGACACACAACCACAGCCCCACCATTTCCCAAACTGTACACTTCCTGGCCCTCACACAGCCAGGCTGGCTTCTACCAGCCTCCCTAGGGGTCCAGCCCCCAACACACGCACAGAGGTGCATCTTCCAAGAGGTACTCCAGTGGGTTCACGTCTGTACAGGGGCCTGCCTCCCTGAGGTAAGGCTCAGCAAGCTGAGGTCCAGAAAGCCAATCACTATAGACCCCAAGTGCACTGATACAGCTTTTGCAGGGTAGGGGGCCACATTCAGTCAGTCCAGTCTGGCCTCCCTGGAGCCTACCCTTGCTCCCAGAAGCCAGATAAATACAGCCAACTTACTGCCTCAACCCTGTCCGTGAGGAGTCTGAAACTGGACCAATATTCAAGACCCCCTCCCACCCCCGACACAGATACACACCGGAGGGAGAGACTGGAAGGCCTCCGCCCCCTCGGAGTCTCACTACTCTAACCCAGCTCAGCCTGCAAACTTTGGTGCAAAGTTACTCAGCTCCCCCAGGGAGGGCCAAGGGAGGAGTAAAGGTCACAGAAATGGGCCAAGGGCCAGCCTGGCTGGGGAACAGGGAAGGGCAAGGTCAGGGATGTGGGGGCGGGGCCGAAGAGCACAGGCCCTGCTTCAGACTGTCCCTCTGAAGCTACAACTCTCAGGGAGAGGCCTGGGCCCCAGCCCCCTGCACCCAGGGGTGGAGAAGACACCATCAGAAAATCGAAACCAGCACCAAAGAAAGGGAAAACAAACTACCACATCCAACCTCCACCCTATGCCCGCCAGCTCCACGGCCACAGGCACTCTCCCCCTAGGGAGAGAAAACCACAGGCCCACACCTTCAGCACAACCAGCCTAGCCTTGGCACAGCAGAAGTGGGTGCAGACCAGAGTCTTGCCACCAGCCACCCACTCCTGCCCGCTGGGACCTTGCTCACTCCCCAAATGTGCCAGGATCCCTTCCTCAGTGTCACGCACCGCAGCTGGCTGAGCTGTGAAGATGATACAAAAAAACCAAAGGTTTGAAGGGTCAAATCTCAGCTCTGCCACTCTAGGTGACCTTAGCAAGTCACTTAACCTCCCTAAGCCTCTGTTTACTCTCCTGTGAGCTGCCCAGCTCAACAACTGGTTGTGTGATTTAAGAGACAAAAGTCTGCAAAGCGCATTGCCCAGCCCCGGGCACATGGAGGTGCTGGGCAGCTGGGCCCTCCCTGCACCTCTCACCACACCCGGCGCCGCCCTGGGCTCTGTCTCTGCTCCCCTTCTCTCTCCCCACCCAGGGCCAGCACCTGTGAACTGGGCTGGGGGAGAGGGGTGTGGATGACGGATATTCAGGGTATGGGTGGAGGCCCAATCACAACCCTTTCCCAAATTCCCTTCGTTCATTTCACAAATGAAAAAAGGAAACCTTTGGATTTGGGGGTGGGGGATAGAGAATTGGACCATTTCCTCCCCATCCTCAAGGGAGAGGAGCCAGGGGTCCCCAAACCCACCTGGCTCATCCCCCTTCTTCATTCATGCCCTCCTTCATTCTGCTCCCCGGGCTCCCAAGGAGTAGAAGTCAAACAGTCCTGGAGGAGCTGAGAAGGGGACCAAGACTGGGGGGCTGAGAAGAAGGGGAGATAGCGGGTTTCCTAAGCATTCTAGTCAGTCAATGAATCATAAGCAAATGACACCAATGCTCAAGCTCCCCTTGGGATTTGGCCCCTTTGGACCTGGCCCCTTTGGACCCCCTACCCTGCCAGGAGCTGGCAGGGCAGGACAGGGCATATTTCAAACCAGAACAAGTGGGCTAGAACTATTTATAAACTTTCCAGGAAAACACAAGCACGCACACACACACAAAGCCACAACCTCTCCCCTCCCCCGTGCTTCTCAGATCTGCGGGCAAAGGTTGGAGCAATGCTGACCACTGCTTCCCTTTCCCCTTTTTCCAGGCATGGCCAAGACTCTCACCCCTCTCCTCCCTGGCAGGCCCACTATCCAGCCACTCTGGTCCTCTGTCTACCTTTTGCTCACCAGGGCTAGGACTGCAGGAAGCTTTCAAGGCCAGTCTTGTGTTGAAAAAGACCACCCCAGGAGGGCCTGAGAAGGGTGACCGGAAGGAGGCTGGCACAGGAGGAGGGCACCTCTTCCCTGCCTGCCCCAAGGAACCCTAGGCCTGCCTCGCCAGAGCGAGGGCTTGTTTGAACACCTGTCCCAAGCATGGGCAGGCCCTGAGCACATCCTCAGAGGGGGTCAGGGAGGGCCGAAGTCCAGTATCTTTCTCTGGATG